CATTCTCTCCTTAGAAAGTAATGAACAGCCTCTTCAAACACGGATTTCCTTAAAGTTGTAGCTGTTATGTGCCCTTTCAATAGTTGCTAAATGAACTCCACTGAAAATGTGGACTAGAAAAAAAGTTATTGATAATAATCACTATTGAGTTTAACATCAGGGAATGTTGACAGAAAAAAAGATTTCAGCGGAGGGCTGTTTCAAAATGTTCTGGATATTTTTTTCAGTGTAGTGAAGGAAAAGACTTTGCGATTATTAGGAAAAGCCAAAGAGAAGAAGGTGTCCATGAAAATCTATTCAGATATTACAGTAGACACAGACACTGTGGCTAGGATGGGAGAAGGCACATTTAACTCAGTAAGTGCCCACATTAAACTTTCATTATATTTTTTATTTATTCACGCTGACAATGAAGGGCTTTCCCTAAAGCTAACCCATGAGAAAGCAATTGCAAATACTTTGAGGTCTGAGCTCTTTAGTCTTTTTTTTCTTGAGCCATTTGTGAATAGATTTTTTAAAAAATGTAATTATTCATAATAGTTTTAAGAGTCTGAGAGAAGAAATGTCCTCTAGGTTGTTTTTGCTCTGTTAACCAGTATGTGATTTGTCAGCAAAACCACTCAATATTGGTTCTTTTAACTGCCAAAATGTTTTTGAAACAAGGGAATTGTGAGTAATGCATGAATTTGTTTATTCACAGGAAAATGCAGAACCAGCATCCTATTTACTTGCATTTTAATCATAGTCTTGGCTGTCCCCTAGTACATAGTAATGAAGCTTCTTGTGGTCTGTTTGCAGAGCTTCAAATTATATCTTTGACTGTTTTGCATTTCCCTATTCCATTGCAACAGTGCCACTTTTTATGTTTTTTTGTGTTCCTTTCATTGACTTTTCTGTGTGAATTCTTTATTGTTCCCTGTGTATGGAAAATCTTCCCAAACCTGTTTGCCAAGCCACCTCTGTTTCCACACTGAAATCCTTCTAAAATATTTACTTCCATCATCTGGTGTGTATGAACTGCGGTAAATGTACAACACTAACAAGTCTCATTATGTGTGCACATGCTCTTTTCACTACAACATTTGCACCTTTCTTTCTTCTTTTGCCAACTCTTGTCTGTTGTAGCCTGTTGAATTTGGATGGTGTGCTATTGAGGGCAAAGACAGTACCTTAATGTGCTTCAGGAAGCTTGTAATAATTATCCGAGTCCTCAAGAAATTATATATTTACTAAATGCTATTGTAACCCAAACTTATTGAAGTGCGGTGTGACAGAAAAAAGGACCATGATTTCAAATGAATGGCCATCAACCACTTTTTACCAAGTTCACCTAAATAATGCAAAATACAGCATTAAAAAGGTCATGCACATGCTGTACAACCAGAGCTAGATCTCTAGAGGATGTAAAAGTATCCCCATTGACTTCAGTTTAACTAGGCCATAATCCCACATGATCAGCATGTGATCTATGGGCCACCCCGAGTCTAAAAACCCTCTGGTGTTCTACACAACTGATTCTCAATGTATTTAAACTTTTGGGAATAAGTTGGTATATGGGAAAAGAGAGCCTGTAAAACTGAACATCTTGTGAAGTACTCCAAAAAGTACTCCAAGATTTTGGGTAATGATATGAAACCTTGTGTGTGCCAGTGACCCTGAGAAATATGCCAGCAGAAGTTTCACTTTAATTTGTGTAAAATCCACAGATTTGTCCATGTCTTCACCGGTTCATGCCATTTAGCAAACCTTTCACTAAATGTACTTCACTCATGCCATTTAGCAAACCTTTCACTAAATGTTTTTTAAATCACTCAAATCAGAACTCAGACAAAGAGAGATGAGTTTCTGTTGGCTACAGGTTTTACTGCAAACATTTTGCATAGCTAGAACAGTGATCATTTTAAGTATCTCCTTGTCCCTGGCCATGCCAATGGGGCTTATACCCTGTGATCATCCACTATCTTTGAAAGGATCAATAGTAAAGACAACTGAATGTATTGTCTTTTTTTTAAACTGAATTTGTATGTGATATTAATTGGAGCAAAGAGTTTGACAATTATTGTTAAAATGTGGGCAAGCAAACAGCCTTCCTCCTAAAATCTTATCAGTTATGTGATCCTCAGAACCTAGATGCCCACGGGCATAGGGCACGCTGTCACACATTGGACCTATCCAACTCACTACACCCAGCACTGTTGTCATGGTATTTATCCAAATGATATTGTGTAAAGCAGTGGTCACCAACCTTTTTACACAGAAGGTTGCTTTCTGAATTTAAGATCTACCCAGGATCTACCCTTCCACTTCCCTGAGGCCCCACCCAGCTCACTCCATTTCCCCTCCCTCTGTTGCTTGTTCTTTCCCACCCTCACTTCACCCTGCTGGGCCAGGAGGTTGGGGTGTAGGAGGGGGTACAGTGCAGGCTCTGGGCTGAGGCCAAGGGGTTCAGAATGTGGGAGGGTGCTCCAGGTTCAACCTGAGGCAGAGGGTTGAGGTGCAGGAGTAAGGGACATATGCTCTGGGGGGGAATATAAGTGCAGAAGAGGGGTCCAGGATGGGGCAGAGTGTTGGGGTACAGAGTGGGTGAGGGCTGCAGACACTGGGAGAGAGTTTGAGTGCAGGAGCAGTTGTGAGCTGCAGCCCCCAGCCTGGAGATGCTTATCCCAGGTGCTGATGTGAGACACTAAGGCAAGCAGTCTGCCTCCTCTGGCCCCACATTGCTCCCAGAAGGGGCTGACAGTGGCCATGTCACTGCAGCCCCTGATGGCTAGGGGGCAATGGTTCTCCCTGAGACGCCTACACCTGCAAGCACCAACCCCACAGCTCTCGTCAGCTGGGATGGTCCTGGGTGTGGGGAGAATATGTGGAGCTGCTCCATCTCATGCATAGGGGGCCACACAAATGTGCTAGCAGCCAGCTATTTTTGGGAGCAGTGCAGATCCAGGGCACACAGGCAACCTGCCTGAGCAACCTCCTTGCTGCTGGACTTTTAGGTTATGTCTACACTGCCCAGTGTTGTGCAAGAACATATGCAAATGAGGTGCGACAATGAATTATTTTCAGGCAGAACGGCTCTTGCACAAAAGCCCCTTAAGCAAAAATGGCAGCTCATTAAGTATGCAAATGAGGCACGATGGTATCATTGCCATGCCTCATTTGCATATGTTTTTGCGCAAGACTGGGCAGTGTAGCTGTAGCTTCTATGGCTGGAAATTGCATTTAATTGTTAGAGATGCCAGGATAGACCAGTTCATCATGATCCACTTGTTGATAATCACTTGGGTAGGATATTCTGTAACAACAAATAAAATGCTGAGTATTAATATCATTGTAAAATGTGTGTGTTTATGTTATATATGAAGTTATAAATGCCCTCTCTAGGACATTTTAGTAAAACAAGTTTAAAACCAGGCAGCCTAGCTCAGGTAAAGGTGTTAAACCAATATTTTTGAGACAAAGGAAAGTAGGTTTACTTCAATTTATATATGAGCACCAAACAGCACCATGGGGCTAAGCCAGGTCTGGTTATCCTGATCTGGAACTCAGGAGACAAAATTAACATGGCCTGACTTATCAGACACCTGCAAGGATGTTTATAGGAACTGTCAAAAAAGTCTTTCTTTCTCAACAGATCTCCCTCTAAACTGCCACTTTTTGCAGAAAAATTGCTGAATCGGCAAAACGTGGTGGCAATTTTATGCAAATTAGGCACGGGATATTTAATTCCCTGCCTCATTTGCAATGTTGACCTGCCTAATCTGCATCCCTCTGCCGACAGAGGGATGCAGTCTAGACATACCCAGAGACAGTCTTTTTGGGAATATGAGGAACAAAGAAATTTATTTCTTACCTTAGGAGACAAACAAACAAAGCAATTTAATCTCTGTGATGGGTTCTGGCCAAAAACAAAAACAAAAACAAACAAAAAAAAGCTGGGAAGGAAACTGAGTGAGAGAAATCATCTTTCACAAGGCCTGTATCTTGCTGGGTTCAGTTTGGGACTTTTAGAAGCATATTTTCACTTTTATTTGCTTGTAACTATCTTTGCTTTTATCCCTTTTTTGGTATCTCTTAGTCCTTGTTCTTCAGTTAATAAACTTATTTTGCTTTCACTATAAATCATCTGTGCCATGTAAGATGAATAAACTGTGTGCTTCCAGAAAGCTAAACAGTTGGAGTGTTTTACTGTCTTCGTAGCAGCAATTGATGTAATGCTTTCTCTGTGAGGGTCCAGAGAGAGGCACTGGTCCCTGCCATGGATGATTTGAGGGTGAATTTGGGGCTGGAAGATACTAAGCTTGGTTTAACCAAGTTGGGCAAAGCCAGTGCAATGCTATGGGGATGCTGGCAGGTGGCTGGATTGAAAGCTCAGGACGCAAAGCTGCACAGCCATAAGACACCCAGGATTACAAGCCAAATAGTGACTGAACCTGTTACTGGCCTGGGGGAAACTCATAAGTCAGTAATATAATATCCTACGAATATTTGGTAGCTCATTATTTGTGATTCTGTGACTCAATCACATTCCTAAATTATGTACTGCATACAACAGATTGATCCTTCAAACACCATGAAAAATTCCTTCCTGGAGAAAGGCCATCCCATCACTTCCTACAGTCTCAAAGATTCTCCCCCTTCCATACCACCAGAAGGCTCTGGGAAGAATAAAGCACCTGGATCCACTCTAGAGACACCAAAGGTAACTTTTAATTCATGCACAAGTCAAATTGATGTGTCAGAATTCATGCCAAAAGTTCTCCTTAAAGGAGTGTGAATTGCTATTGTTTAAACATTGTCTTCTGGTAGAGACGAGGAGGTTACAACATAAAAAGAAAAGGGGAATGAATTAAACACACCTTCTTTTGTGACTGCAATAAAAACACCTTTGGCATGCACTTTGTATTGATTGACTGTACGTGCAGAGCTGACTGCTGAGACACGCCCCTTCATAATCACAGCCTATAAATTCTGATGCTCCATTCCATAGAAGCCCTCACACGATGGGTGTCACAATGATCTTCGTGTGGCTGTTTCTGCCAATTTTGGGAACTCTGCAGCCTGCCGCAGGTAAAATGCCTCCAATTTTTTCAAAGTCATTCTTCCAAAAATGTAAAGAGAACTTTTGCTCACTTTCACTGTGTCCACATCTAGAACACCCAGTCACATCAATGGGAGCTCTGTGCAAAGATTAAAGGTAGTGTCAGTGTACGGCCTCACTGGATAGCACAGCTCCATTCTGTTGCAACATGTGAGCCAAACAAATTAGTTAACTGAGCTATTGGTTGAGCCTTTTAATAAAAACTTCTTAATATGGTGAAATTAACCTTGTTCCCACCATTTAGTGTTTTGTGTTAGTGGCTGGTACAACAATTAAAATGAAGTTGCACTATATAGCTTGTAAGTTAACAGTTTAATGTGTCCAAATCTTTGGGACAAGGATGTGAATTAAGAAGGAATATGATTTTGCTTGTTAAAATGTATATTTATTTCCAAGTGCTTCAAAAGTAACAGTTCTAGATGCACACTGAAGCACCCAGCTTATGTTTTATTAAATACAATTTAGCAAACTGTAATGATAGAATTGTGAAACTTAGTGTTCTTGGACTAAATGAACTATTGCACACCACACTTATGTTGTATTAAATACAATTTAGTAAACTGTAATGATAGAATTGTGAAACATAGTGTTTTTGGACTAAATGAACTATTGCACACCACTGTGTTGGCATCTCCCACTCTGAAAATGATTTTTTTCTTGTTACTTTGTGAGTAGTTTGGGTAACCTGTTTAAAATTATTGAACCAACCAATTCTGAAGAATCCTGTAAAGCTCATGTTATATAGCTTGGACTTTGGTACAATATGGGTAATTTTCATAACTAGAACTGAAGTGACATTATAGTTATTTCTGTTCACATCACACCTTTAGTTAAATGGGATTTGTCAAGGGTGAGTGTGCAACAGCTTGTGTGTGTTGTTTCAGTATATTTATGAATGAATGTAAGAAGGGAGTAAGTAAATATGTGTGAACTAACTGTAATGTTAAAGAAGGGCAACTTCTTCAGAAGAAATTCAGTTTGGCTCCTTCCTAACATTAAACACCTTTCCTAACCCATGGGCCATGGAATCTGAGCTACCTCTGTACTCCCTCTTACACAGCTGGCTGGCCACCCAAGTATCTGAACCTCTTGACTTAGCCACCTTTATTTCTCTGCTTCTCTTCCTCCCCATCTTCTATTTCCTCCTCTGTCTCTCTACATCTTTCCTCACCCTGAATGTTCCTGCTTTCTCAATCTTCTTCCAGTATCTTCTTCTCTCAGCTCTCCCCGGGTATGTCTACACTACAGAGTTTTGTTGAAAAAACAGCCATTTTTCCAAAAAAAACTTGCAGAATGTCCACACTGCAATTGCGTTGTTTCGAAAGTAAATCAAAAGAACAGAAGGGTTTTTCTGATGTTGGTAATCCTCTTTCTATGAGGAAGAATTCCTTTTCCGAAAGAGCTCATTCAGAAAAAGGTATGTGTGGACAGGACAGATTTTTTTTTTTTTTAAAGAGGCCTCCAAGAAATAGTAGATGCCCTGACGGACACTCCATACAAAGTAATCACAACTCTATAGTTCCTGTCTCCTGGCCTCTCTTAAAGCTGCAGGCACCCTGGACAAGCCTTGTGGCAGGAAGCCGGCCTGAGAGCAGCAACTCACTGTGAGGCTCTCCCTGTCACAGGTCTTGCCACTCATGGCTCAGCCTCAAGCCCTCTGTGACCTCTCTGGCCCTTGCAGGGAGCAGCTGCAGGGGTCCCAGGACCCACCCAGGGGGACCAAGAGGCAGGCACCCTCCTGGTCTGGACCAGAGAACTGTCCCTCCTTGAGCTGTGGGGCGAGAAGGAGACCTTGCAGGATCTCCGGGCCAAGCGCTACAATGTGGACATTTATGGCTGGATGGCCAAGTCCCTGGCAGAGTGTTGATGCCACCCCAGACCTTGGAACAGGTCCTGAGTAAGGTTAAAGAGCTCTACCCCCCCCACCCCAAGAGGAAGACTTCTCCCTTCCTCTCCACAACATTGTGGAGGACATAACATGCCACGACCACCACAGGGATGTTGTGCTCCCCCACGTAGAGGCGGGTCAGCAGGCACCTGAACCACTCCTTGAGGTGCCTGAAGGCGCATTCAACCTGGATCCAGGCACAGTTCAGGCAGGCACTAAATAGGTTCCTGATGGGGTCCAGATGGCCAGTGCAAGGCTTCCTCAGCCATGGCATAACGGGGTATGCCGCATCCTCCACGATACACAGTGGCATCTGCACATCCCCAATGGCAAGTTCATGGCAGGGGAAGAATGTGCCCGCCTCCAGCTTGCAGTACAGGCTGGAGTTTCTAAAGATGCGGGCATCGTGTGCCCTGCCTGACCACCCAACAAAAATGTCTGTGAAGTGTCCACAGTGGTCGACCAAGGCCTGCAGCACCATAGAAAAGTAGCCCATACAATTAAAGTACGGGGCCGCTCAAAGGTTTGGTGCGTGGACCAGGATGTGGGTCCCATCGATCGCTCCCCCGCAGTTCAGGAACCCCAGGGCAGCAAATCCAGCCACGATCAGGTCCAGGTCTCCCAGGCAGATGACTTTCCATTGCAGGATTGAGTTGATGGCCCTCACCACCTGCAAAGAAACACACAAAACAGAGAATGAGAGAGGGGCTGTCTCAGCCCTTGGGCGGGGCCTGATCCCCTTTCCTCCCCCTTCAAACATCCCAGGAGCCACCCCCTATGAGGCCTCCCCCCCAGCAGCAGGGATGTGTGATGGCAGGATGGTACAACCCCCTGGGGATGAGTCTTCTCCCCCAACCCCACAGCATCCCCCACAGCTCCCAATCCCCCTTTCCCTAGGATCCCGCTTTTCCAGGACTCCTTTCCCCTCCCAGCTAGTGTAGGTACTGCAGCCCCAGAGTGCCTTTCCTCCATGAGGAGGAGCCCCCCCAGTGGACTTCCCCATGCCACTGGCCCACTGACCGGTAGCTGTCTAGGGTGGTGAGCTTCCAGAGGGCAATGGTGACCCACTTCTCCAGGAGGATGGTGGGCTGCAGGTGGGTGTCATGTCTCCGGAGGGCGGGGGTGAGCCAGGCATATAGCTCCAAAAAGATGGCCTTCCTCATGTGGAAGTTTTGGAGCCACTGATGGTTGCCCCATGGCTCCATGATTAGTCAGTCCCACCAATCTAAACTGGTGTTGAGCCTCCAGCAATTCCTCTCCATTGTGGGGCGCAGTAGCCAGACTGTAGTTCCTGCACCCAAAGATAGGATGCCAAAAATGAACTCGGAGTTGAGCTTGTGCAGGACCAGTGCTGCAAAAACTGCAGTATGGCCATGTGGGGCCATCACATGCCCAGGGGCAGCTCCGGCTCCATGGCACGAAGAACAAAGCAGTGACATCCACAAAAGCAGGGCAACCACAGCAGGCACTGTGAGAGCTTTGCTCTTCCTCGAAGAGGTAGCAAGCACGCAGCAGAAGCAGAGAAATGGATGTCCAGGGGGGTCCCTTTAAGCACGTGTCTCTGCAAGGCTCCGGCACCAGCACTCAGAAGCAACTGGTGACCTCAATCCCTGCCTGAAGTGGTTCTGGGTGGCCTTTGATGTGAGAGCATTCAATCAGCCCGGGAACTCTCTTTTGAAAAAGTGCTTTTTCGATGCATTCTTGTGTGTGGATGTGCTCTTTCGCAAGAAGTTTTTCTGGAAGATCTCTTCTGAAAAAAACTTCTTCCGAAAGAAGCCTATAATCTAGATGTAGCCGCTATAGTGCCCTGTCCATACATCATTGCTTCCCAGGGGCCAGGAGAGATTATTTGCACTGCTGTCTATACATTATGCCATTGCCTGTTTCAGGCAACCCTGTATTTTTTGCACCTTTCACCCAGGTAGCAATGAGCAAGTGTGTAGAATTACATCCCTCATGAAAAGCTTATGTTTGTGGCCAGAGGAGACAGGAGACTATCTGAGACACCACTGCCTGCTGAGAGTGCACCCTAACCACTGATCTAAAGGGCATTAAGGAAGCAGCCACCATCCTGCACCTATTAGCTTGTTAATCTAAGTCTGTTTTTTTAGGTTTTATTTTAAAAAAAGCTTTGGAAACATTTTTTATTTGACCATAAATGGGTCATTTTCAAGATTTATTTTTAAGCGTTTTCAGTTTCAGGTCAACTCAAACAGATTTAAATTATTGTTATTTTGTGAAAGTGCTGTTTTCAGTTTCAGTTTAAATTATTGTTATTTTGTGAAAGTGCCAGAGAAGCTGAAAAATAACTTCAGGCAACTTTAATTTACCATTAGCACTGTGTTTTGATTCCAAATCCATAGTATGACCTTTAGAATTTTGAGACTTGACTGTTTCAAAAATTTCATCTACAAACAAGAATTTGCACAAGCAAATCTGATGTGTTCATAGATAAATAAGCAGCTTGCTGGTTCTCTTTTTGCATGCGTAGCTAAACTTGTCCTTACTATACCTGCTGCTTGCAAACAGGGACATGTTTACTTGAAGCATTTATTTGGCAGTTTCAGTGGTCCAGTTGTTATGTGTCTGCAGACAGATGAAAAACCCTGGAGGTGATAACTTCTCAGAAAGTGGGTGAGGAAAGGATGGATAAATGGTCTCGAAATATGAATAGAACCCTATCAAGTATATAATCCGTGTTGTCAATTTCATGGTAATAGGATTTAAAAATAATAAGTTTAATGATTTCAAATATTTTATTCTGAAATTTCACACTGTTGCAGTTATAGGGGTCCTGACCCGAAAAGGAGTTGCCAAGTTATTATAGGGGGTGTTGCAGTACTGCTACCTTTACTCATGCTCTGCTGCTGGTAGTAGTTATGCCTTCTGAGCTGGGTAGCTCAAGAGCAGAAGCTGCTAGTTTAGAGCCCAGCTTTGAAGACGGAACCACTCTCAGTAATAGTGCAGAAGTCAGAATGACATAGTCTAGTATTGCCAGCTTTCCTTCTCCACTGTTGCCTGCAGGGCTTGGCCTTCAGTCAGCAGCCACCATGCCCTGACTGTCCAGCTCTGCGGGCAGCAGTGCAGAAGTAAAGGAGGGCATGGTATGATATTGCTACCCTTACTTCTGCAGGCTGCTGGAAAGGCAAGAAGGTGCCTCTACTAAGTGGCCCCGGAATGGAGTTGCCCCAGGCGGTGAAGAGGGGCCCCTCACAGCTGGGGCAGCTCTGTGCTAGGGCCAGAGGTGAAATTGCTAGTGCAACAGGTCGAGCTTCTAGGCAAGGGAAAGCCCCCTCCTCCAAAGGCTCCTGGCTGCTTCTGGGATGCAGCATGATGTGCCGCGTCATGCAGGTACCACGTAGCCAGACTCAGTGCCAGTGACAAGGAGCTGCCCATGGAAGGCTGAGGAAAGAAGAAAATCAATGTATGCAGCAATAATTCTACAAATAAAAGATTCCCAAGAAAGTAATTTCCATTTTTAAAAACAGTTAATGCAAGAATGTGTTTTTATTAAGAAATAAAATCATCAACTCATCTCTCCTTACTAATCTAGCCTCTAATTTTGTCTTTGTTTTCTCAAAGGGAGCCCAACAACTACTTATGGATATATGACATCAATGCCTGACACAACTGCAACTACAGTGCAGTTGTTCAACGCCACTCGTAAGCTCCATTTTATACTTGCTTTACTATAATTGTATCTATTTTATAGCGTACCCAACTGCTGAAATTGTAGAATAGAATTTTACAGTTTAATGATCACTGTCTTCGATGAATGAATGAAGTCACTGAAGAAGGTAGTCGATGCTATGTATGTGGACTCATATGTAAGACATCTGACCCGTGTCTCAGAAATATTCATTGGCCACTTCAGTTAGTATTATCTTGAGCCTAAATATTATCACTTGGCTAGAAAATAGAATGACGAATGCTTAAGGAAGTATCAGGATATGCAACAATGTGTCCACTTTAGCAATACTGATCACAGACTTTTTGCAGACACTGATACCTGAGGAGGGTTTCAGATGTTGCACGGAATAGCAGCAGAAATCAAAAGTCAGAGCTGCTCTGATATTCCACAGCCATACTGGAAGCAGCAGTTCCTCTTGGGAGATAATATATTCAAAAGAAGATCTGGCCCATTTTTCAGGGAGCACCATGAGACCAGTACTGTGGCCCACACCGTTCAGTTTCTGTATGAAGTGTTTTCTAGTCCTCTTTCTAATGCCACAAAACATTGGATGTAAGAAAAATTTACATTTTCTGAACAAATTACTGCAGTTAATTAGGAACAGAAAAAAAGGTTTCTAAAAGCCTACTGATATAGTGCACATTGTGTTTCCTTTTTTTCAGTTGATAACGTGGGCGATGGTGAGTCTGTTTACATATATTATTCTTACATTTGTACACACTTTAATTTACAGTGGTATGTAGTTAGCTAACATCTTTCTGTGTTCCGGCTTGGAAAATGATACTGACCTGTGAATTAAATTTTGATTGTAATGAAATTGAAATTGAAACCCTAGAAATCTAAGTGAGTTTCAAGTGTGGGAAAAGTGGTTCAGAGTGCTGGACCCCAAAGTCTGCTATTCATTCATGGAGAAAGACCAGCAAACAGCACTATGAGAAGCAGCCATGATAGCAGAAAATTCAGTTTTGTGTTATGTGAAGGCTTAAATAACATCTCTGTACGCCTTTTCTTAATATCCTTCATGGCTTTTATGGACCTCTGTACTATGCCTTCTAAGTGGTCTTTTTTGGAAGTTAAACAGTCCCAGTCTCTATAATATCTCCTACTCTGGAAAATCTCTTATAACTCTAATTAATTTGCCATACACGCTGTACTTTTTCTAATATATCCTTTTAGAAATGGCATGACCAGAATTAGAACCCATTTTCACAATGTTGATATGACATGGATTTTAGTAGCATTGGGATATTTTCTAGGCTATTTTCTATGCCCTCCGTCATGTGTGCTAACATATTTTTATTTTTTCTGACTGCCATTGCACATTGAACACAAGTTTTCAAAGAGGTACCCATGACATCATGGTTTTTTCCTTGAGACATTACAGGTAGTTTAGATGACAACTTATGTACACACGTGAGAGATGTTTTCAAACGTGTTTTTAATGTTAATCCAAATGTGTGATTTGGTCACAGTTACTCCCAGCAGTAAAATTATTGTTCTGTGCCTGCATCAAATACATCTCAATTGCCTCCACATTATGAAAAAGTACAAAACTACAGCTTGCGTACTACTACTTATTGCTTTGCATCTGTTTTAGGGCTGGCCTTGAGACTGGTGAATTCAGCCAACAGATGTGAAGGTCGTGTGGAAGTCTATTATAAAGGATCGTGGGGGACAGTGTGTGATGATTCCTGGGATCTCAATGACGCAAATGTTGTGTGCAGGCAGCTTGGATGTGGATATGGAGTTGAAGCAAAGGGCAGTGCCTATTTCGGTCAAGGCTCAGGAAATATTGTCCTGGATAATGTAAACTGCAGAGGATGGGAAAACAGTCTGTGGGACTGCCCTCATGCAGGATGGCTCAATCATAACTGTGGTCATTCTGAGGATGCTGGTGTCATTTGTTCAGGTAAGTAGCCAGAGTTTGCTGGTTTCTTGAAGCTGAATGATTGGCATGAAAAATGCCATGTCTAAGATGTGATTGCACGTCACATGCTGAGTTTACAAAATAAGAAATACAGTTAGTGGCACCGAATCCTGTAATGTAGAGACCACTTTCCGAGGTCCTCCAACTTTAGTTCCATGCTTCAAGTAGCCAGCCAGTTATTTCTCTGGTGAATGTGATTGTGGTAGCGCAGAATAAAAATACACCACAAAAATGGCATGCGGCAGGGAAGGAAGAAGCACCCACAATGGCCAAAACCTGAATATAACACTCTGAAGTTCATACGTGGTATGTAGGAAACCTAGATCTTCTTCCTGGGTCTGCCATGCCACTTCGCTTCTTTATGCCGCTGTTTCAGATAATTCAAAACATTTTATTTGAACAAACTTGTAATATTTAGGTTTGACTTCACCTGTTTTTATGCATTTGTGGTTATTAAAATATTAATAGTACTTTTGAAACAAAATGGTTTCATACAAAAATGACATTTTAACTTGATTAAAAATAAACATTTCTCGTGAGGTGTTTGAAATTGTAATACATTTGAGCAATGAATTGAAAAGGCAGGAGTTGTTCAATGTTTTGGTGTTGCCAAATCTGTAGTTTTGGGGAAAAAATCTTTAGTCTAACAATTTTGCCCAGCTCCAGGATGTTAACTAAAGAAGCTATAATTTCTCTTGTTTCCTCCTAGCAGCTGCTGGAAACACATCTCCGTCGACAGGTAATTCATCACTTGCATGATATCGCAGCTCTGATGACAGAACTACTGCCAGTAATAGGGCAGAAATAAGAATGGCATGGCCTAGTATTGCCAGCTTTACTTCTCCCCTGCTGCCAACAGGGCTGGGCCCTCACTCAGCAGCCCCCTCAAGCTCTGGCATGGTATGGTGCTGCTGCCCACTCTTCCACACTGCTCCCATTAAGCCCCATGGAGAGGCTACCAAGCGCTGTGCAGTGGCTCTGGGCAGCAGGGAGGAGATATGCCTCTCCCCAAGATCCAGAGGTGCTGTGGCCAGCAAGAAAGGATCTCTTCTAGGCATCCCCAGCATGGAATTGCCCCATGTGGAAAGAGGGGCCTCAGCATGAAATTGCCCAATGCGGAAAGAGGGGTCCCTTGCAGCTGGGGCAGCTCTGCACCTGGGCCAGCAGTGAAATAGCTAGTACAGCAGGTCCAGGTTCTTGGCAGAGGAACCTCAGGGATCTGTGGGCTGAGAGACCTCATGCTCCTGTCCCGGAAGCCAGATCTGCTGGCCGCTTCAAGAGTGCAGCACGATGTCCTGCATCGTGCAGGCACAGCGCAGCCTGCCTTGGCTCCAGCGACAAGGGGCTGCCCATGGAAGGTTCAGGAAAGAAGAACCTCAATGTATGCCACAAAAATTATCAAAATAAAAGCTTCCCAAGAAAGTAATTTACATTTTTAATAATGGTTAATGCAAGAATGTGTATTTATTAAGCAATAAAACCACCAATTCTTCCCTCCTTACTAATGTAGCCTCTTATTTTGTCTTTGTTTTCTCAAGGGAGCCCAACACCTATTTATGAAACTTCGACACTCGTTCCTGACATTACTAGGACAATACAGCCATTATTTACCACCACTTGTAAGCTCCGATTTATTCTTGATTTGCTAAAATTGTATCTATTTTATATTGTACCCACCTGCTGAAAATAGGGAATAGAGTTTTACAGTTTAATGATCACTTTCTTTGACAAATGAATGTAGTCAGTGAAGAAAGCAGTGTATGCCATGTATCTGGACTTTGACCTTTAGTGAAAGAACATCCTGCCACTTCGTGAGGGAACATCATGCGTGAGGTTCTGTGGCCCATAGAGTTCAGTTTCTGTATGAAGTTTTTTCTAGTCTATTTGGGTATGTCTACACTTGCAGCCTATTTCGGAATAGGGCTAAAAACATAGGCATTTGGAATTGCTCATCAAGCTCGGGATTTAAATATCCCGTGCTTGATTTGCATCTTCATGGCGGGTGCCATTTTTGAAATTTACAAGCCCGGAATAAGTGCCCGCATCTATACGCGGCAGTGAAACGGACGTTCGAAATAAAGCCCTATTTCAAACTACCTGTTATTCCTCCTGCAATGAGGTTTTACAGGTAGTTCGAAATAGGGCTTTATTTCGAATCCCCGTTTCACTGCCGTGTATAGATGCGGGCAGTGTATAGATGCGGGCATTTATTCCAAGCTTGTAAATTTCAAAAATGATGCCCAGCAGGAAGATTCAATCAAGCATGGGATAATCAAATCCCGGGCTCGATTTACAATTCTGAATGCCTACATTTGCAACCTCATTCCGAAATAGGCTGCAAGTGTAGACATACCCTTTCTAATACTAGACAACATTGGATGTTCAAAAAATTTACATTTTCTGAAAAAAGTTACTGCAGTTAAAAGGGAAAATAAAAAAGGTTTCTAAAAGCCTAAGTATGTTGTACTGATAGAATGTATGTTGTGTTTTCTTTTTTTCAGTTGGTAATGTGGGCGATGGTGAGTCTTTTTACATATATCATTTTTACATTTCTACATATTTTAATTTTCAGTGGTATGTAGTTAGCTAACATCTTTCTGTGTTCTGGCTTGGAAAACGACACCGACCTGTGAATGAGATTTTGATTGCAATGAAATTGAAACCCTGGAAATATGAAGTGAGTTTCAGATGTGGGAAAAGAGGTTCAGAGTGCTGGACCCAAAAGTCTGCTATTCCTTCATGGAGAAAGCCCAGCAAATAGCACTATCTGAAGCAGCCAGGATAGCAGAAAACTCCCCAGTTTTGTGTTATGTGAAGGCTTAAATAACATCTCTGTACTCACTTTCTTCGTATCCTTCATGGGTTTTATGGACTTCTATCCTATGCCTCCTGAGTGGTCTTTTTTGGAAGTTGAACAGTCCCAGTCTCTGTAATTTCTCCTAATCTGGAAAATCTCTTATAACTCTAATTAATTTCTCATACTCTCTTTACTTTTTTCTGTGCATTTCGTCATGTTTGCTAACATATTTTTAGCTTTTCTGACTGCACATTGAACGAAGGTTTTCAAAGAACTATCCATTATGACAGATTTTTTCCTTGAGAGGTAACTGGTAGTTTAGATGATAACTTTTGAATACACATGTGAGAGAATTTTTCAAATGTTTTTTTCAATGTTAATCCGTATGTGTGATTTGGTCACAATCACTCCCAGTAATAAATTATTTTTCCATGTCTGCATCCATCACATCTCAATTGGCTCCATTGTTATGAAAGAGACAAACTACCAGTCATGTATTAATAATAATTGCTTTGCATCTGTTTAAGGGCTGGCCTTGAGACTGGTGAATTCAGCTAGCAGATGTGAAGGTCGTGTGGAAGTCTATTATAAAGGATCCTGGGGAACAGTGTGTGATGATTCCTGGGATCTCAATGATACAAATGTTGTGTGCAGGCAGCTTGGATGTGGATATGGTGTTGAAGCAAAGGGCAGTGCCTATTTTGGTCAAGGCTCAGGAAATATTGTCCTGGATAATGTAAACTGCAGAGGATGGGAAAACAGTCTGTGGGACTGCCCTCATGCAGGATGGCTCAATCATAACTGTGGTCATTCTGAGGATGCTGGTGTCATTTGTTCAGGTAAGTAGCCAGAGTTTGCTGGTTTCTTGAAGCTGAATGATTGGCATGAAAAATGCCATGTCTAAGATGTGATTGCACGTCACATGCTGAGTTTACAAAATAAGAAATACAGTTAGTGGCACCGAATCCTGTAATGTAGAGACCACTTTCCTAGGTCCTCCAACTTTAGTTCCATGCTTCAAGTAGCCAGCCAGTTATTTCTCTGGTGAATGTGATTGTGGTAGCGCAGAATAAAAATACACCACAAAAATGGCATGCGGCAGGGAAGGAAGAAGCACCCACAATGGCCAAAACCTGAATATAACACTCTGAAGTTCATACGTGGTATGTAGGAAACCTAGATCTTCTTCCTGGGTCTGCCATGCCACTTCGCTTCTTTATGCCGCTGTTTCAGATAATTCAAAACATTTTATTTGAACAAACTTGTAATATTTAGGTTTGACTTCACCTGTTTTTATGCATTTGTGGTTATTAAAATATTAATAGTACTTTTGAAACAAAATGGTTTCATACAAAAATGACATTTTAACTTGATTAAAAATAAACATTTCTCGTGAGGTGTTTGAAATTGTAATACATTTGAGCAATGAATTGAAAAGGCAGGAGTTGTTCAATGTTTTGGTGTTGCCAAATCTGTAGTTTTGGGGAAAAAATCTTTAGTCTAACAATTTTGCCCAGCTCCAGGATGTTAACTAAAGAAGCTATAATTTCTCTTGTTTCCTCCTAGCAGCTGCTGGAAACACATCTCCGTCGACAGGTAATTCATCACTTGCATGATATCGCAGCTCTGATGACAGAACTACTGCCAGTAATAGGGCAGAAATAAGAATGGCATGGCCTAGTATTGCCAGCTTTACTTCTCCCCTGCTGCCAACAGGGCTGGGCCCTCACTCAGCAGCCCCCTCAAGCTCTGGCATGGTATGGTGCTGCTGCCCACTCTTCCACACTGCTCCCATTAAGCCCCATGGAGAGGCTACCAAGCGCTGTGCAGTGGCTCTGGGCAGCAGGGAGGAGATATGCCTCTCCCCAAGATCCAGAGGTGCTGTGGCCAGCAAGAAAGGATCTCTTCTAGGCATCCCCAGCATGGAATTGCCCCATGTGGAAAGAGGGGCCCCTTGCAGCTGGGGCAGCACTGCACCTGGGCCAGCAGTGAAACAGCTAGTACAGCAGGTCCAGGTTCTTGGCAGAGGAACCTCAGGGATCTGTGGGCTGAGAGACCTCATGCTCCTGTCCCGGAAGCCAGATCTGCTGGCCACTTCAAGCGTGCAGCACGATGTCCTGCATCGTGCAGGCACAACGCAGCCTGCCTTGGCGCCAGTGACAAGGGGCTGCCCATGGAAGGTTGAGGAAAGAAGAAACTCAATGTATGCCGCAATAATGATCAAAATAAAAGCTTCCCAAGAAAGTAATTTACATTTTTAATAATGGTTAATGCAAGAATGTGTATTTATTAAGCAATAAAACCACCAATTCTTCCCTCCTTACTAATGTAGCCTCTTATTTTGTCTTTGTTTTCTCAAGGGAGCCCAACACCTATTTATGAAACTTCGACACTCGTTCCTGGCATTACTAGAAGTACACAGCCATTATTTACCACCACTTGTAAGCTCCGATTTATTCTTGATTTGCTAAAATTGTATCTATTTTATATTGTACCCACCTGCTGAAAATAGGGAATAGAGTTTTACAGTTTAATGATCACTTTCTTTGATGAATGAATGTAGTCAGTGAAGAAAGCAGTGTATGCCATGTATCTGGACTTTGACCTTTAGTGAAAGAACATCCTGCCACTTCGTGAGGGAACATCATGCGTGAGGTTCTGTGGCCCATAGAGTTCAGTTTCTGTATGAAGTTTTTTCTAGTCTATTTGGGTATGTCTACACTTGCAGCCTATTTCGGAATAGGGCTAAAAACATAGGCATTTGGAATTGCTCATCAAGCTCGGGATTTAAATATCCCGTGCTTGATTTGCATCTTCATGGCGGGTGCCATTTTTGAAATTTACAAGCCCGGAATAAGTGCCCGCATCTATACGCGGCAGTGAAACGGACGTTCGAAATAAAGCCCTATTTCAAACTACCTGTTATTCCTCCTGCAATGAGGTTTTACAGGTAGTTCGAAATAGGGCTTTATTTCGAATGCCCGTTTCTCTGCCGTGTATAGATGCGGGCATTTATTCCAAGCTTGTAAATTTCAAAAAAAAAAAAAAAAAAAAAAAGGGCCAGCCCCAAACATA